AGGTAGGGAGGGGGGGGGGCCATTTTGAAGAAAGGCAGGTTTGCCCACAGTTGAATTTTTGTTGCAGGAAAGTACTGAAATTTTGTGGCTTATTAAAAGAAAAAAGCACATACAACACTGAGATAATAAGGAACTGGAATGGACCTAGCATGTTAGCACCTAGTCAGCCATTTTGTATTGAGGGCAGTGGTGAGACACCTGAGGCTCAAAGGTACACTTTGGTTCAGTGTCTAAATAATGGCTATTGTAACTGGTGACAGGTCCTCTTTAGGGATGGAGAGATGTCGGTGCTCAAATCAAACTAGCGCGCACACCCTTATATATAGCGTATCCCCTCACTTCCTGTCCCTGTGATACCCATGCAAGAACTGGGGCTGCAGTTTTCACCAGAACAGAAAAGCATGGACACTAATACAACAGCTGCCAGAAGTTTCCCACTACGCTAATGTGTATTTGTCAGTGATCCTCTCTGGAGAGATTTCTCATTATTTTCCATCTTATCCACCCAAAAAGTGATAATTATAGGTTGGTTCCTTACACCGGGTATAACAACATCTCTAAAGGCCAAATGGTTAGAGTGACGCTTTAAAAGCTTTTACTACTCATCAGTTTAGTGTTCAGTGATTGATGGCACCAGAATTACTGCTCACTCAGACATTCACGGCGCAATGGTCATTCTCGTACGTATGCTCACTCGATGCATGTATGTGGGGGACATGGAAAATAAAAAAACAAATTGTTTCATTTTTTTCCATGTGCAACTTTATTCTACCCCCATTTTTTTTTTATTTTTCTTCCCCCAACTTAAGGTTTCTTAGCCGCCTGTGATAATGTTAAGAAACCCTCTATGTGATAGCAAAGATTTGACAGGTCCTCTTCATGGAGACATCAGTGGTCTCAAGACCCCTAATGTCACCTAGGGACCCCCAAAGAAGCAGAGATCTTCTGAAGCTGTGGTGTGACAAGAATGCAGAAGTGATGTAACACACATCAGTTCCGTGACACCGGAGAGGGGACCAGAGGGAAATAGTGGGGTGCACAGACCAGCACCTAGTGCAAGCGGTCCACCGGCTCTATAGTTAGCAAATCTCTTGTATGTAAACTCATTGTTGAGTGTTTTCAAATTTGGCCAGTTTCCTGCTTGCAGGAGTGGGCGGGGCCTACAGGCCATCCAACTGCCTGATTCATCCAGGAAGGTCCCGGGTGGCTGCTCTGAGCAATGGCCGACAGGCGGTTAAATACAGCTAGGTGTGATCCATGTACCCATTAGCCCAACCTTGCCCCCCCCCACGAGTTTAAACCCAAGTTGAAGTTAAAAAGGAGAACTATGAGGCGAGTGCTTTTCACTCCTCACAGTTCTAGCCGACCTGTGACAATGAGACTGTCACAGGTCGGCTCACAGGTCGGCTCAGTAGATCAGGAGGTGAGGGAACACATGCCGGCGTTCGCTCGCCTCTCGATGCCGTCACAGCTCGCTGCCGTGACAGCGGAGGGGCTGGATTCCCCGCTCCGCCAGCGCTGACTGGCGGAACGGACGGGGAAGGGGACGGGTACAGCTGGCTCTGCCTCTAGATAGGCAGAGCCAGCTGTCAGTCACACAGCTGGGCAGATCCCGGCACAATTGTCGGGATCCGATGCGGCGTCTCAGTATACCACAGGCTACAGCTCGCGGTATACTGAGCCTAGGGTGACTGGAGGACGCTAGTTTGTGTCCTCCTGTTACCCTAAGTAGAACTATGGGGAAAAGCCCTGACCCCATAGTTCTTTGTGTTTTGCTAAAAAACAAACACTTTTATGGATGCCTATTCAGACCAAATAGAGGTTGTTTGTTCGAGGGGCATTACCTCCACATGAAGTCCAGGCATTAGGGCAGAAACCCAGTCATAACATACACGTTTCATATCTATAATTAAAGCCACATTGCCTAAAACATTTGCTATGGACTATATAAATCAGTTAAGTTTTAGTGCCATTTACCTTACACATGCTAAGGAACATACATACACGCTAAGGAACATACATACATGCTAAGGAACATACACATACATGCTAAGGAACATACATACACACATACATCCTAGGGTGACAACACTGCATCTATAAAGCAGTGTTGTCATCCTTGGACAGGACGACAAATACGGGGTGGGTGGGTAACTGAAGGGTTTGGTAGCCCTCAGAAATGTTCCAGCTAACATAGGAATGCAGGTCAATAGTTTTTGCACCCAACAGATTAAACATTGGAAACAGTTAGTTCAAGGGACTGTGCGATTAACACACTACTAGTGTAACCGGGCCCTCAAACACTGACATCTTTTTTTATTTTTAAGATCCACCCAGTTTCCCTACCTTATCGAGAACTGGAGTGGATCCTCAGCCTGGGGTCCAGTGTGGGGCTACTGTGCTGTGACGGAACTCCATCCATATGTGCATTGGTTGTACAGCTCCCCTGTCTGCCCTGTAGAGTTGCCAGGAGCTAGAATGTTACATCACTCTGGTCCAGGCACCTCTACAGGAGACATTAGGGAGCTGCAAGCAATGCACTTATGGATGGAGCTCCCTTGCGGCCATAGCCCCACCCCCACCTCAAGCTGACCTTGGCACCAGGCAGCATATTTTGAAAGACTGTTGGTGTGAGAACTGACCGTGGCACTAGGGGGGAGGCTGAATAGCCTCTCACCTAGAAAAGGGATCCACTGAACACGGGGCTGCGACCCACTTTTGGGTCACGACCCACCAGGAGAACCAAGGGTCTAAGGTAAAGCACCTCAGGTATTCTGCACTTTGATTTAATTTCAAACTTTAGTGCCAATTTTAATAGAGCATTTAGAAGAAGCACCTTGTGAAACTCTGAATTGGGCTCAAGGACAGTAATGAAAGCTTACGATCATACCCCCACCTCAACAAACTTGACCTTTTAATAACAGCCAAGACCCATGATGCATACATGTTCAGATTACCCACTAAAAACATCCTATGGAGTACTTCAAGAGGTACATTATACCATCAATAAATAAGCAATAGACTAAATGGAAATAAATGTTTTTATTTTCTCATGCCCAGCATACATTATGACTTTCTCAGAGACTTGCCAATGAACACAGCACATGCAAGGACAACAAGAAGACTTAGACATCCTATGGCCACCATCAACCAGAGCTCCACAGGAGCAGACTCTTCCTTTATCACAGCAAGCGCAACATCCCTTTGTTTTGGGCCAGTCACAAGCAGAGGTCCCAGAATGGTCACGGTTTCTCCCTCAATGTTGGGTTCTGTAGAAGGAAAGCATAGGGAAGGGGGTCAAGAGACAAGATTTCTGTACAATCCATGCAATTAACAGTTTGTCAGTTCAGCTTTTACTCAAGTGTGCAGAAAGTTGTAACCCATTATAGACCCTAGGAGACCTTTAAATTATCACTTCAGCCAGTTGTCTGAGGATTTTGACCAGAAAGGGGTACTTAACCCCCTCAAGCTTGTTGTCTCAGCACTTTGAGATCTTCCTTTTCTAGTTATGTGACAGAAAAGGAAAAGTCCACTATGGACAAGCTGCAATATGACATCAGGTTCTAGCTTAGCCCATGTATTACCACCGGTGTCCCTCAGATCTGTTCACTTCTCATCCAAGTGGAGACGAGGAGCAGTCTGGTCAGCCATCTTTATCTCTACATCTAAAAGATCCCCAGATATAAAGTCCATCTAAGTTTTCCTTTTTTTGTTTATTTGGCCCCTCACTTTATGCTCTGACAAACTCACAAGGGCAAGTTTCCCCAGTGGAGAGACTGCAATAAGTGCCCAACTCTCCCAACCCTTTGCCATCACCAAGGACAGGAAATGCATTGCTTTACATTAGGAACGTAGAGTAAAATCTGACCACCACAAAACCCCAAGAGCTGAAAAAACAAAACCCAGACTTCAATCAATGGTTGTCAGCATGGATGGGTCTTCTGCTGCAGCTATTGCATTCCGAGAGCCAGAATACATAATCAGTGACTGCAGCTATTTGGCTTCTTGCGGTCACTGCTCATCCTAAAAAGCTTTGGCCCAGATTCTTAATTGAGTTGCTGAAGAGGCCGCAGTCACCTATGAACCCTAGCCAAATCCTGTGAGTTAGTCTAGCAGCTAACCTACCCCCTCTAGTGGGGATCTAAAATTCTCTATACAAGTGTACCTGAACTAAACATTAAAAAAGGAGAACTATGAGGGGAGTGCTTTTCACTCACCTCATAGTTCTAGCCGACCTGTGACTGAGACTGTCACAGGTCGGCTCAGTAGATCGGGAGGTGAGCGAACACATACCGGCGTTCGCTCACCTCTCGATCCTGTCACGCCCCTCTGCTGTGACGGGAGGGGCTGGATTCTCCAACGCTGACTGGCGGAATGGACGGGGGCGGGTACAGCTGGCTCTGCCTCTAAATAGGCAGAGCCAGCTGTCACTCACGCAGCTTGGCGGATTCAGACATAATTGTCGGGATCCGCTTCAGCTGCAACGTCTCAGTATACCACGAGTTGTAGCTTGCGGTATACTGAGCTTAGTGTGACGGGAGGACGCTAGTTTGTGTCCTCCCGTTACCCTAAGGAGAACTATGGGGGTGGGGGGGGGAGAAAGAGCCCTGACCCCATAGTTCTCCTTTAAAAGGCAAGTCAAAATTAAGCCACAATGCTCGCCAATAGAGTCAGTGAATAGCTTTCCCTTTATATTTTCAAAGACAGTTTTTAACTGGTCTGTTGGCAGGCTTTGCATCTACCCATCAGGTTGAGAAAGTTCAGAATTCACCAAGGTCCATTTGGCTCTTTAAACAGGTTGTGCATATCCATATTGTTTTAAGGGAATGCAAAACCCATGTGACATGAACACAACCATTAAATAGACCCTAAAGATATGCATGACGAGTGGCTGCTTCTTGCCATATCTAGGAGGTCGCCTATACAGCCATACCACTCCTGTATATAGCAGCTGCAGGCTAAAAACTCACCATCCAAGGCCTCCCTTTTCCCAAATACTCTTGGTCTTCCGAATCTGCTCCTTCCTCCTGCAGGTGGTAACATACCAGTAGCATGACAGGTGAGTGTTTCACAACACTGGCAGATGTTACTGGGGCCTTCAACTGCAGACCAACTGGAGGAAAAAAGCAACATGGTAAGCATCAGCCAAAGTTTTAAAAACACTTAAAAGCTCTGGCACAAGCCAATGTTACGTAGTTAGATATTTTACCTTTGGGCAACTTGGGGCTATTGCCATTAAGATGCAATAGTACACTTTAGGTTATCACAAGTACCTTTGAAGCTACGTGCCTTCTATTGATATTTGTATAAAAGTTCTCAGTGTCTGGAGCTGAAGGGTGCTTTTGAAGTCCAACTTAGTTATCTTCCTGCACACAATTTCTACATGCTTTAAAATTGTCCAAGCAGTGCCCACATGGCCTCCTCCTGGTGTTTGATCCAGTGGCTGACTAGAGCAGCATAGACCTGCCATACCAATGATGTGTATGCACTGGAAGACTGGCCAAGGGCAATACTTCCTGTAGCCCAGAGGGAGAGCCATGACCCCCTCGTACAGACTTCAAGTTATATAAGGCCGAGTGTCAGCCTGCAAGTAGGACAGCAGCAATTTGACACTGCATTGCAGCAGAGAAAAAGTTTAAGGAATCAAATGCTTACTTTAGAAATCCTTTAAGTCGTGCTTCAAAATTTTATAAGTCCCAAAGTACACCACCATTGTAATAGTAATATGCACCCTAGTCTTAATAATGCAATCAAAGCATATGCTGTCTTCTATCTGCCTATCCAACTTCCTGGATTCCCAGAGTACTTTGCATCATATCAAGCAGCAGGGAAGATGGGGCTATTGAAGGCTCCATAACAGCTCTTACTGTTGGGTGAAAACAGCTGTTACTCAGAGGAACCCTAAATTGAGCCCCAGCAAAGGTTCCAGCCTTGCCCACTATCAACATTGGCCAAGGGTGAAGAGGTTCTGCTACTGGACTTGCTAAAGACAGACATGGAGTTGTGTGCCACTAGAAGTGCGAGTCAGTCTACCCACCCCTTTACTTAAAGTTGACAAAGTCTGGCACATCTGAAGCATTGCTGCCAGCTTTCCCCAGTGTGGATTGAATGCCTCTGTCATTGTAGGCTAGACATATCTGACCTAAATCTTTGTCTTGCCAACACTAGATGCTCTTTAGAAGCTTGAGTTGGACAAAGCTGAGAACCATGAGATTTAGTGGCCTGTCCTTTCCTATACACATTGTGCCAAGACATCCACTTCCTAACCCAGAAAGTGACAATACATAGGCACTCAACTAAAGAAAGCCTAGGCCTAATGTTGTTCCCAAGCACCACCCTTGTGTATCGTGGCTCAATGCAATTGTAGCAGCCACAGCCGACCATTCTAAACTAAAGATCAGTGTGGGATGACAGTGACCCTTTTCAAAACTAGGTTTTTAGAGTGCAGAAGTACCTTTATGGGATTTGCAGTTCACCAACCGAGGCATACATTTGGGAAGCTAGATTAGGTGCTAAACAAGATGCAAGGTTTTGGCACAGCTTCAATTTTCTTTGGTGGGAATTTTGCAGCTGACAAAGCCATCTTTAGAAGCAGAGCACCGTATGCCATTTGTTTTCAGGAATCAACCACATTATAAAGCAGTCATTTCTCCAGTTCTTGCACAGAAATTTGTTCCCATTACACGAGTTGCAAAAATGCAATGGGGGAAGAGTGCAATAGTCAATGGACACACCAACCACCTTTTAATACAGCCTCACCTTTTTGTAGCTTTGTTATAGGAGCAGGCCTTATTCAAGGAATCCGGGACTTGGGTGGCTGCAGCAGCTCTCAGGAAACAGGTTATGTAAATCTGGAATTGGAAAGTCAATTCAGTAATCAGTTCCAACAAAGGCATCAATCTGTTGCAACCAATTCAACTAGCCCTCACCAGAGACACATCTGCTCCTAGGAATCGGAAAGCATCCACTGTGAACTGTAGATTGTCCAAGCTGATCCTTGGAGCAATGAAGGCTGAAGAGGAGTCCTCTTGCACTCCATCCACCAGACACCTGCAGAACATGGTCTGTTAAATAAAGGGGTGGTCATAATAGCAACCCCCTTCCTGAACCACCACTGAAACATACCCATCATCTGCAATGATGTCATAACTAGGAGTAGAGCCGACATCAGGAGCTATGGTGGCCACACATCGGTCAACATACAGTATCAGATCCATATGGTTCTGAGTGTCCACAGAGGCCTCTATGTAGAAGATCTCTCCCAACTGAAAGACTGTTGAACTTCTGGGGCCACTCCAGTTCTCTGTAGACATATCAAAAGGGAATTAGTGATGTCCCAATAACTTACCCTCTTGAACATCTTCACTCAACTCACCAGTCATCAGGCGCAAGGAGAAAGACAGCCTCTCTTCTGAAGACACTGTGGTGCTAAATGGAAGCCATGTTGGCTTAATGGCCTTACTGCTCACATTACCATGCCTATACAGAGCACAGAATCAAGTGTTAGTGATGAGTCAGGAACTAATCATGCCATTTGATCTATAGATGCATTTTAAGGCAATTTTGGTAAGAGTATGGTGGCTGCCATTGCCAACTTGTTAGTTACAAGGTGGTCATTCTATAATGACACTATACAGCAAGTTAGTGACATGGATAGTTCAGACTGACTCCAATTCTGTTGTGTAACGGCCGAAAAGATTGTGAAGCCAAGATCAGGATATCCCTGAAAATCAGCACCCCAGAGTTTGTGAGCAATAGCAGCTGCCATGTCTAGCTCCATGTTATCATTTAATCCTTTTTAGACTAGCATTATCACTCCAACACTACCAAAGGATGCTGTCAACCAAAACCAGATGGACAAGGGAGCCCTTATAGCCAATTTACAATAAGGTTCTCTAAAGCTATAGATTCACTTCCCCATCATAGTCAATGTCATCCATCTCATCACATATGCAGGGGGGCATTGTTAATCACTGCAGTTGAAGTTGGGTGGGTTGTAGGTACAGGAAACAACTCTGCAGATCTAGTCAAAGGTAGTAAAGTAGAAAAGTACACCCAAAAAATGTTGGCCTGTAGTGCCAAAGTGGGCTGCCAACACAAGCAAAAATTAGATATAAACCAAACACACATATGGCTTGTAGTGCACCGACTGCAACAGATTGTTGGGGCCATTTAAACCTTAGGGCACTGTGGTATGTGCCTCATGGTAACTCAATTCCTGTTCACTGCAACTTATAAGTGAATGGGCCACCAGTTTGACAGTGAAGCGTTACCCTTTAACAGGGGTACAGACAGCAAAAACCTGACAGATTAATGACCACTCACCAGGAATGGAGTGAAAACACAAAATTGGCCAGAGAAACATACCTTCTTGGAGAGATTTTCACTGCCCTGTTGTGTCTACAGATTTAAAGGGAAAGCTCTTGAATGGGCCAGATGGCAGAAAAGCCTCACATGGGGGTTTCAACTGTTACCCCTACTCCATGCACATGTTCCTGGCTTTAGATATTAACCAGCAAGGATGCAATACTGGTTAAGATACACATTGCACCCCTAGTGTAGACTCACCGGTAGTAGTAGCACATTATGGGGACCACAGCTGGGTTGGTTCTGATGATTGGAATGGAGGAGGTTGGGCTGTAGGTCAGATTGGTAGAGTAGATCACCCAATCTTGAGTCATCTGTGCAGAGAAGATTACAGAGACAAGTCATCTCTACTCATGAGACGCAACAATCATTGACTTCCATTTCTGAAGAGACTAGTCACCAAGCTTTCATGCTGATAAGGATTCAGCTTTGAATAATTTCACATGTCAGCCTGATAATCTTGTTGCATTTTCTGTGACATGGTTTTATGCTCTTAAAGAGATCCCATCACAGCATAAAAATGCAGGCGAGAGCTTTGTAAGTAAAAGCAATTTAAAATGCTTGCTTTCAAGTGTCAACTCCCACCATACACTGCATAACCCCTCTTCTGGGAGTGTCCAGCTACTCTTCCCTGGCCCAGCTCCTCCATACAGGGTTATGCAAGTGCAGGGAGAGGAGCAAAGGGAAATATTAATGTCACTTACGCGACAGCTCAGCCTGCTGAAATCACAGCCAAGATGGCAGTGTCAGGGATCTTAACTAAACAAATCCTTGCATTGGGAATCACACAGGGTCTGCCATTGCATGCCCATTAAGAACCTTGACCGAATGACCAAATCACCAGCCCCAAACAAGCATGCAGAAAATGAAGACAGACACCAGCTTCTTTAAAGAGATAGCACTCCCATTAAGCATTCAAGGCTAAAACCAAACAATTGTAGTGGGGAAACCCCATGCACTACAAGGGTTAAGTGCTCATTCCATCTTGGGAGCCAAGACCACAAACTCAACCAAACCTGGTGCCACCTGGCTGCTAGAGCAGTCCCCACAGCTTCTCTTTCTACACAAGACAAAAGGGAAACCATGGAGAAAAAGTGTCCCAGTCTCATCAACTACAGTCTTTAAGGCCACACTGCAGAGGGGGAACATTGCAGACTCTACTCTCCATTGTTGCTCTGACCAGTATAGACTAATGAAAGGGGACATCCATCTGTAGCTATGGGCATCACTGCATTTACTGGAATACAGACAACACAAGGTGAAATTTGAAGTGCAAGTTACACAATTACCTGCACAGTGTTTCCACAGTCCTGGAGGCTAATCTGGAAGATGACAGTATCAGTGCTTTGGGGGTTTGGCTGGCAGCGTTGGGGTCCCAGGCTCAGATCAGAGGGTTTCACCAGCTTTCCAGTGGCATAGAAATCCCTCTGGACATTTACCACCATATTGTCCTCCTCACACTGGACACTGATAGGGGAGCTCCCAGCCTGTGGCAACTGTCGGGGAATCCCACCAGTGTATCTACCAGATGACCCCCAATGAAGCCCACCTCTAGAAGACCCAAACCCAAGCACAGGCTCATTACCTCCCCAAGAAAGCCCTCTGGAACCGAGTTGAGAAGACCCCTGGCGAGGTGCAGCCCGCTGGTGGCTCCTCCACCAATCTGACTGGCGTCTGTGTCTCCCTAAGGCACCATCTCCAGCACAGCCAAACCCTGGTCCATAAACCAGAGCCACCAGCAATACCCAACTGCAGCAGCTTATCACCCCTAGACCCATCCTGACTGCAAGAGGAACAGCACAAGGAGGAAAGATAAGAGATCTACCTTTTATGCCCCTCCCAATAGCCACTAATACCCACCAGGTGGGGCAGATAATCACTACACCCAAATGGCTGGCTCATTCACAATTAGGGCTAATCTACAAGGTTGATTTTAATTGCTGGTTGCTGAGAGCTATACAGACCAATTTCAGTAGTTTGATCCTGCTAGCAAAGCCGCTAGCAATCACTAGGAGTAGCAAATGATCAGAAAACAGATGGAACAAATGGCTCCCCATGGAGTGAGCTGCACAACCAGCATGTGCTAGCATAATCTAGCATGACTGCTCAATGGCCCAATCATGTGCAATTGGTCACCTCGGATTGCTATTGTATACTACTAGTATAGCTTACACCATAGGCAGTTGTTTGTTTCAGGGTCCATATACATTTTTGGGGGTTCATTCATTTGAATAGATTTTCTGATGCACCAAAATAAGCGAGGTGTACCTGCAAGATGCATTGAGGGTAACACTCAGAATGGCAACACGACAATGTGAATTTGGCCTCCTTGATCATTTGCTGGGCCCAGTGATTAATGGCTAGCAATGTCAATGGCAGATCTGAAGTCTCCTGCGTAGCTCTAGGCTTAGGGCTCATTCACCTGTTCTGCTCCGGTTGCAGAGCCCTTTGTGTTGTATACACTATGGGGTGCGCACCTATTCATGTCTATGAATGCAACAAAAACACCCAACAAAAAAAATTACCCTTTTTATTTTTTGGTCTGTAGATGCAAGTTGGGGGCTCATTGATGATGTACTCAGGCCATGACGCGCATAAGAACACATGCAACATGTAAATGGGCCCTTTGGCTGCATTCACACTCTGCACGTGAACGTGCTTGCAGCATTGTGCATTTTTAACACAGGTAACAGCATTCATTGTCAAATAAATCCAGCAGGGATGGTGGGAGCCCCTCATAATGGGCACAGCAGGTGTACATACCCAGGAACTCAGCACAGGGATGGTGGGAGCCCCTCATAATGGGCACAGCAGGTGTACAGACCTGGGAACTCAGCACAGGTATGGTGGGAACACCTCATAATGGGCACAGCAGGTGTACAGACCCGGGAACTCAGCACAGGGATGGTGGGAACCCCCCATAATGGGCACATCATGTGTACAGACCAGGGAACTCAGCACCGGATGTTGGTAACCCCTCATAATGAGCACAGTCCCTGTGACACCCATGCCAGAACTGTGGCTTGCAGTTGTCACCGGAACAGACAAGCATGGGCACTAATAAAACAGTTGTCAGAAGTTTACCACTACGCTAATGTGTATTTGTCAGTAATCCTCTCCGGAGAGATTTCTCATTATTTCCTATCTTAACAGTAATCCAACAAAAAAGTGATATTTAATTATAGGTTGGTCCTCACACCAGGTATAATAACATCTCCAAAGGTAATTGGCCAAAGGGTTAGCATCCATCCATACCTCCATAAATTGAGTAGTCTGGTGTGTGCAGACCAGTCAGCTGGCAAACTGCAGGTGGGGGCAAGCTTCTCAAAGTTGTGTGTATGGGCCATGGGGAAATTAATGCGAGGATTCTAGCTCACAGGAAAGCTTGAGGAACCTTAGAAGTGTGTGATAATCCCATGGCTGCTCCACATCCCTTAAGCTGGCCATAGAAAATGCAAAGTTCAGCCAGTTCTTGAACCATTCAATATTTGCACAGTGGGCTCCCCTGACAGCATCCCTCGATCAGAAGATTGAAGGGTCTGGTTGGAAAATCTCCAGCTGAACGGTGCTTGCAGCCAACCATCTGCTGCCAGAACACAATGAAAACAGAGAGGTATTCATCCATCCACGCTGCTTAGTCTGGCTGGAGGAATCTGTGATGTTTTTATCAGCCGGCTAAAGGAAACAGTACAGCACATGGCCAGTTATAAGAGTGCCCCAGACTATGCAAGATTTGCCTCCTGTGTGTCCAGCCAGATACATTTGGGTGAGTCTTCCTCTAGCAGGATTGCAAGGTGTGAAAACTTAAGCAGCACTGTTTTATTTGCCCAAAGTAAGCTCTCTTCTCCACCACATAAAGATCTTGCTTTGATTAGCCAGTGGTTGCAATTCCTTGACATCTGGAGGCACCAGTGAGATAGTTCGAGTGATGTTTATGGTGGTTACCTGGGTCTGGATTGGTCAGTTTCCAAGGACACAGAACAGACTTCTTATGCATTAGCCAGCCTCCCTCGTCTCTGTACCCATCCCTGCCAGGACTGTGATGTAAAGGGGGAAGTCCCCCTGTGGTACCAAGATGAAGGTGCAGACATCTGTCTTAGTAATTAGTTAGGTCCATGCCACCATTAGCCCCACCTTGTCCCTTATTTTGCCAGAACAAAAAAGGTGACAACTCAAAGCCTAGTATGCTCATACAGCCCCTGGCTTTGTGTCTTGGTTACACAAACAGTGAGATCTCCCCACCAAGAGTTCCTGACTCCATACTGGTTGCCCTTTGTGTGTTCCAGCTCATAGTTACATATTCCTAGAATTATAGTAAGATCATGAATCCAGAAGTGAGTCCCTTGCCTCCCAAGCCATCTCAGAATTGTAGCAGGCACCATTCTCACACACAATGACACATATTGATTATAGGCCATTTCTAAATGCAGGCCATTGTAGTAAATTGTAGAGGCAGATTAGATACTCTGGATGTGTTTAAGGCATGGTGAGTGTAAGGAACAGCCAACCTTTGATGTGCTGACATGTACATCTTGTAAATGAGTGAAAATTAAACTTCTACAGATCAATTCCTCCCAGGACATAGGAGTTCCCCATGAATGAGGCCTGTAAAGTGTGGCCATACTCTTGTAATGTTGGACCGCACGTGCCCAGACAATGGGCAGGTAGGGTGATCTACCCAAAACAACCCAAATAGTCCTCTGCTGGGTTTGGTCACCTATACAGGATGTGAACCAAGCATTGGGTCTCCACCAGTAGTACTGGTGTATTTTGACCCAACCTTTGCAGCTTCCAGCGTTTGTACCCAAAGCATGAACCGCTTTAGTTTACAGTGCCAGAGTACAACTTGAAATCCTATTGGGGGACTATTCAGTCAGTTAAACTTTCCCCTACAAAATTGATTTTTGCCAATTCTCTCTGCATGAAGATGGGAGAGGACCATACTGGGATGGTAAGTCCTAATCTACATTTGGCCCCAGGTCATCCAGCATGGGACCCCACACAAGTTGACCAGAAATATAAAGCACTACCTCAGTCAGTCCAGTGGGCTGCACAAAACACCAGTGCTCAGCCGTGGCTCCTGCCTACCTTAATATGGAACATCTTTAGGACAGTCAGAATACCATACAACCCCCTCCCCCACCCAATCATTTTCCTATGTCGAGTGTAAGAAAAAAATAAACGTTAAAATGGTTAAAAGTGTTAGCAAAATGACACTTGTGGATGCCTATTCAGACCAAAAAGGACAGCCAATTGAAGAGGCTGTTTGTTCCAGAGGATGGGCATTTCCTCCAAATGGACAGTTGGGATCTATGGAACAGTGTCAGATCAGAAAGAGCCACTAAGTCTAGGCATTAGGGGAGAGACCTAGTCATAGTAAACATACATGTTACATAGCTAACATTAAAGCCACATTGTCTAAAACATTTGCTATAGAATACAGATATCAGTGAAGTTTTAATGCAGTTTACATTTACTTTGTACATTTTCCAAAGGCTCATTTGTTCTTAAGGGGGGCATTCTTGTTTTTCATTTAATTTGTTCAATTCTGCACAGTGGTGCAGGTGTTTGTGCCTTTATCTATAGAGAAGCAGTGTTGTGATCCTTGGACAGGACAACAAATACCCACCGTCCCCGTAACTGAAGGGTTTGGCAGCCATCAAGAAATTGTTCCAGCTAACAAATGCAGTACAGGAAGTTCAAATGTTTTTTGTACCCAACAGCATTTTTTCCAAGTTAGTTTAAGGTAAAGCACCTCAGTTATTCAGCATTTAGAAAACTGACTACTCAGATCACCTTGTGAAACTCTGAATTGGGTCCAAGGACCGTAATGAAAGCTTCAGGTCATACCCCATAACCCCACCTAAAGAAATCTGACCTTTATAATAGCAAAGAACCATGATTCATACATGTTCAGATTCCCTACTAAACTTCTTCATGGAGTACTGTAAGAGGTACATTATACCATCAATAAATAAGCAATAGACTAATTTGGAAATAAAGTTTTTATTTTTCCATGGCCAGCATTCATTATTACTTTCTCAGAGACTTGCCAATGAACACAGCACATGCAAGGACAACAAGAAGACTTAGACATCCTATGGCCACCATCAACCAGAGCTCCACAGGAGCAGACTCTTCCTTTATCACAGCAAGCGCAACATCCCTTTGTTTTGGGCCAGTCACAAGCAGAGGTCCCAGAATGGTCACGGTTTCTCCCTCAATGTTGGGTTCTGTAGAAGGAAAGCATAGGGAAGGGGGTCAAGAGACAAGATTTCTGTACAATCCATGCAATTAACAGTTTGTCAGTTCAGCTTTTACTCAAGTGTGCAGAAAGTTGTAACCCATTATAGACCCTAGGAGACCTTTAAATTATTGCTTCAGACAGTTGTCTAAGCATTTTGACCAGAAAGGGTCAAGTTTGTCATCAGCACTTTGAGATCTGTTCTAGTTATGTGGCAGCTGAGGAAGAGTCCACTAGGGACATGCTGGAATCTGACATCAGGTTCTAGCCTACCCCATGCATTTCC